GAGGGGGCGGAGACTTTGGGGAGGGGGCGGAGTTGGGGACGGGGGAGGGGGCGGGGCTGGGGGCGGGGCCAGGGCCCCGTGGAGTGTCCTCCTTTTGGAGGCACAAAATATGGTAACCCTAGGGTATCTGGCATGTTCCATCCCTTCCTTGCTGACCAAGCAAAGTCACATCAGCTCTGGATGATGACTAATCATTGTCCCTTGTTACGTCTGTCTATGACAGAAGTCAGTGATCCACATAAAACTCACCCAGCACTTTTGACAAGTCTGAAATTTACCTTAGTCACTTCGCGTTGATGTCCCACGAACCTCTTCAGCACTGCTCCCGATCTCCAGTTATACACAACTACAGTCTGGAGAGAGAAACGTCTATGTGAATTCAGCCAGCACATCCATGCATGCAGACTGACATTACTTCCTACCTATCAGAATAGGACAATGAGATTGCCTAGGGAGGCTGTGGAAGCTCCTTCACTGGAGGTTTTCAAAAGGAGGCTGGATGGTTTAGATACAACAAATACTGCGTCTTAACAGGGGCTTAGACTAGATGACAATTGCAACCCCGTCTAACCCTTTGGTTCTATGATGCCCTTTGAATTGGAGGATTGCACAGCTGTGTTGCGTGGCATTCCAGGCACCCTGGTAAGGGGGCAGTGATTTAAAAATAAACATTATTTGAAACACTATTGCCACATCTTAACGTCCTCCCGACTTCACAGTCTAACTCAGTCTCTGCTCTGGTAGTGATCCCCCTGTGCCAGCAAGGCCTGCATGCTTGGTGCCATCAGCTCAGCCTTCTCTAACTGTGTTAGCATCACAAGAGACACAGTGCTTATAGCTGGGAAGGTATATTTATTCTGGAACCCCTCTTCAGAGGTGGGCTGGGTAATTCGTTGCCCACAAAGGTGAATTTCATGGAGCCATGATAGTTGGTTATGAGTTCCTCTGAAATAAAGGGATGTTTCACGGTTTGAAATGCTTCAGAGCCAATGAATTGGCCCACAAGAGCTGTTTGTCTAGCACAGGTGCCAACAATGGCTCATGGCCACTGTGTCCCTCCCCATCACAAGTACCTGGAAATGGGAGGGGCACTCCTTCCCCGCCCCAGCTGGTGGACAGTCAGTGGCCTGGAGTACTGACAGCCTTTGCATTTTTATTTTAACCAACGGTCGGTCTGATGCCTGTGAACACATAAACCCTGTCGTTTGAATCAAGTCATTTGCCCTTATCTCTATGGCAGGGAGTTCCAGACACACTTGATTTCCTTGCATTCATTTTGTTCCTGTGAATTTTGACCCACCCTACCTTGTCCTTTCCTCCCGACACACAGAGATCTGATGTTAGAGCAGCCACAGAAGTGACGGCGCCAGTGTGAGCAGGGCTGTATTGCTGAACAGCCTGCGCAGGACTGTCCTCTTCCACATAATCATCAGGCCTGCCAAAGAGGGAAAGACACACAGCAGCAGGAACTTCAGTACATGTTACAGAGAAGTCACTGTATGCTGTAGATCACTCATCCCACTTCTGAAACCACATGGCATTGGCTCCAATTAGACTGAATTTAAGGATAGCAGTGCCTTGTTTTAGGAAGAAACGCGGCATATTGAAATGCTGGAGAAAGGCAAGCCAACACGCAAGCTCTGGACAATGCAGAGATCAGCTCTCCGGGGACGTAAATGTGTTTCCTAGATGTGACATAATAGGGTCTCCTCCACCTCTAATTCCTAAACCTGCAGAACAGTTACTCACCTCCACTATGGTGCATGGGATCGACTTTAACAGAACTTCACCAGTCTCCCTACTACAGCTGGCAGATGATGGTCTGACTCAGCCACTGTTCCAACAGTTCAGACATTTTTTGCTGTCTCAAATATCCCTCACAATAACAATCCTGTTCTCCTTCTTGCTGCTCTGTGCCCTTGGCTTATCTCCAGTACTTATGGGCCAGTATGCCCATCTCCCTACTCATGGAGAAAGGGAGAATTTAACCCTTTCTTCGCAGGGAGCCATGCATGTCACTTGCTCAGGCTACTGAGGGTGTGTCTCTCACTCTCAGAGACTAGACTGCTCACCATTTCTCCCATGCACACAGGGCTGGCTCTGGCTTTTTTGCCGCCCCAGGCAAAAAATCCTCCCACCGTCCCCCGGCGGGGAGGGCGGCGAGCCTGGCCGGGGCCCCGCTCTCCCCGGCCAGCCGGCTGTAGTGCCGGGAGGAGGGCGGTGAGCCCGGCTGCGGCCCCGCTCTCCCCGGCCGGCCGGAGCGCTGGGGGAGGGCGGCAAGCCCGCTGCAGCTCCGCTCTCCCCTGGTGAGCGCCACCCCCCTCCAGGTGCCACCCCAAGCACATGCTTGGTAGGCTAGTGCCTGGAGCCAGCCCTGCATGCACAGGTACGTCCCCTCCTACAGTAGCATATCCCCACCCCTCCAGCAGGAGTTCCCCTCTCCCTCCCACACAAAGAGCTTGCGGCACATCATTCTGGCTCAGGAATACAGGAACTGCTCCCAACACAGGCTGTCAGCACCACCACTGGGTTCATTACGAGAGTAAGACAAAGCTGAATGGGTTGCTGTTAGGATACTCTCAAACCAGAGATCCCCTTTTTGCTGCCAGATACTTTGATACAGCTCCCAGATCATTCAGTTTGAGGGAAGCTCTCCATTTCCATGTGTGGTTGGGGGAGGGAGAGGAGGGGAACTATATCTGAAACTCTCTCTGATCTCTTCCATGGTGGCACCAGCACCTCCCTTGGATTAACACTGGAGAGTAAGGGATCACTGCTTGCCAGTGCCCACCGGAATTTTCCCTTTGCCCTGGCTAATAGCTATGAAAAGAAAATAACGTGTGTGTGACAGTGCAGCTAATTGCATCCCAGCTGTCCTGGTAGACACTATACTGCAGGGCTAAGGACAATTGTTTGCTAGATGGCCCAGGGTGCAGGACTAGCAGAGCACTATCTCCTTTGTCAAGAGGAGCCATATTCCACCCAAGATAGTACACCCAGGTACTTTGCACCCTTGCCTAGGAACTGCCCAGGTGGATGTCAGTGACGCTCTCTCTCGAGAGAGGATGGATTAGTTTGAGTGAGCTGCCAACACACTCCATCCACTAAAGCAACTTTTAATGTTCAGGGCTACAAGCAAATGCAGAGTCGGGGTGGAGTTGCCATTTTAGCCACACAGTCATTGCAGTGCTGGGATCTAGGCCACTGCTTTCGAATGTGTGTGGAGGCAGAGACAGGTATTTTAGACCATTGAGAAATTAAGAACCTTTAGAATCAAAAGGAAAAGTTACATTTCATAAAACCCAGATGATTACATATGATCACTAACCTCCCTGCCATACAATTATGGGGTTTAGTAACTTAACATGGAGATCGCATTCCCAGGAGATTGTTTACCTGTATTTGGAGGTGCTGCAGTTGATTTTACTCTGCAGTTTCCCCATGAGCCAAGGTGAGCAGCTCCGTAATACAGCATGTAGTGCTCAGCATCGAAACCTCAGCATCTCAGTCAATCTCTGGGAGCTGGGGGATTAGGAGAGGACACATTATGGGGAATTTATAAATCGATTCTGATCTTTACAGCCATTGGATCCAATGCTGATAATGCATCACTTTCACTATAGACCCAGTCATTAGCTTCCTTGCATTTCCCTTACTCCTCTTCCCATTCCCATATCCATCACTTCTGACAACATATGCTTGCTGCTTCTCTCTGCACAGTTCCAGCTGGGAGGTGTGGCCAGCAGATACTGCTTTATGGGCAACTCAGTCAGCATCTTATTAGCAAACACCCCAAATGAGAATGGCCCGTAGTACTAGCTGAAAGGAGTGTGTTTCTCCTGGGAGCGTGCTGTCTGGGTTATACTGTTGTTTTGTTGGTCTTTGTGACTAGTTTATTGTAATTAACTGAATTCTGTGCTAGTGCCAGGCTGGCAGATCGTTACCCTGTGGCTGCAGAACAGGCATGGCATAGGAAGTGTCCTCATTATGTACCTCAGTCCCTACTTGAACTACCTCAGCCTTACCCAGTCAATATGGGCATTCAGTCCTTGACCTTCATGGTGCCAGTTTCTGGCAGGTTTTATGACGTGGACAACTACCAACTCACTTATCTGTCTGAGACTCCTAAGCTGCCTACATTAAGGATAACGTTGGTCACAGCAAGACTAGAGATGAGCTAGAGACCTAGAACTGTAAGTCTTTATGTCCCATTACCAGGCCCCCGATCCACCCAGGCTTCCAGAGAGCATCACGCTAACCTTCGGGGAAAGCCCAAATAACGCTAACCAGAGGAAAAAATAGGCTGTTGTTCAAGAGGTTTAAGTAATGCTGAACCCACCTGGCCCTGTGTCACCCAGAACACAGTGAATGTGCCATTCCCAGCAGCAGGGAACAAACAAGCATCAAATGGGTCCTGGGGACAGTCACCTTGGGGTGACCTCTCCAACTAATAGTTGATACACGCTGGCAAAGCAGCAAAGGGGAAGCCTACACTGTTGTGCCCATGTTCTAACTGTTCTGGGGTAAAGGCTCCAATCACTCCACTGCCTTTTACTAGCACTAAACTCACTAAAAGCATTAAATCAATACAGGAGAGGTGTAGCTGTCCATAGGCTGGTTTCAATGGTCGTGAATTACCAGGTACAGTAATCGGATTCTTCTCAGCTGGAAATGCTCTAACTGGATTAATTTCAGTCTGACCTAGCTGTATGCTAAAGCTCCTGTCTTCCAGGTCAGCAGAAGTCTGCTGAAAATTCACTGACTGCATTTACCTGTTTGTCAGAGCAAACAAATCAAAATAACCTTCATGTCACTGATTACAGAAGCCTGAAGCACAGATGCTAGAATTGCTAGGTCAGAAAGAGTACTGGCTTCCTGGCAGACATTCCCCTACTAATTTTACCCTGCTATCCTTTGCAATTAGCAATGAGTAAAACCTAGTTAAGCTCTGCTTATTCAATCCAGATGTTTATAAAGCCAAAAGGTTTAAAGTGTTTAAACCAATCTCATAGGCCAGGGAGTGTATTAATTGGGTAACTGACTTTCGTTCAGTCAGAACAAGACTGAGTTTGCAAACTATTTCAGTGTCCTGGGAATAGAGGTGATTTTTTTTTATTTATTTATTTGGCAACAGGAAGAAGTTGGAAACCCAGTCTGTATTTTATTTAATAGAATTTAACTTTGATTATTTCCTTGGCTTTTAATTAAGCTGATATTGCAAATATTAAAATTAACTGCATGAAACAGTGAACTGGCAGAAAGAAAGCAAAACGACAATAGTGCCTTTTCCTGGGGGTTTGCTTGCATCTGCAAAATGCTTTGAAGATGTGAAGGGACTGTCATTTACTATATGTCTGTATAGTGCCTATTACAATGTGAGCCCCTGAGCTGGTGTAAAAAAAGTAATAATGGTAACAGTGCTAAGTGCTATTAATAAAGTGAGTCTGGGAAGTCCAGCATATTTATAAGATTTGCTTTAACAAACCCTCTAGCAATCTACTAGTAACATCCGAAGAAGTGAGGTTTTCACCCATGAAAGCTTATGCCCAAATAAATCTGTTAGTCTTTAAGGTGCCACCAGACTCCTTGTTGTTTTACTAGTAACAGACATTCCTAGCCATTTTGCAGACCAGTTTTCCTCGTGGCTAATTATTCCTCATTACATGCGAGCAGCACAAGTTTTCCATTCATAAACACCTTCAGATTCTAATTGCACTATAGAATCAAGGCAGATAGTTAGCACTGTGAGAAAAGAAGGATTCAAGGAATAAAAATACAAATTGCATTTTGTACCTCGAGAATGCTTCCTTGCAACTGGTTAACTATAGCATAAATCTGCAGATCCCTCTGCAACTTTGAATGCTTAATAAGAATGCAAGCTTCCAGAGTCTTGCTGCATTTTGGGCAAGCCCTCTGGTACCCCAATACAGTATGTCATTTCTTGGCAGACTTTCCATGTAAATTTACCATCCTCCTGTATGTATGCCAGGCACTATAGTAACAGTCTACTAGAATGAAGTTCTACTGTCAGGGCTCCCATGGTAATTGAATGACACCTAGGTATGCTTCATAAAGAGTGCATTTCATCATAGGGATTTATTTTTTTAAATGTACATTGCTCTTTAGCAACCCATTCCTGGCAGCAGAAAGTATTTGCATTTAAACAAGTTTTAGTCTCCTCATTCTATTGTGACACAGCAGTGAAATCTGCATGCTGGCTTTGGGAAGCAACAACAATATCCCTAATAACAAACAGTCATGGTATAACACACAGATGTGAAACTAAACCACAAGATCAGACCCCAACATTTGATTATCCAGGTTCATGGCAGTGTCACAGCACCCTCCAGTCATGCACTGAACAACATGGCTAAATATCTGTCACCTGTGGCTTGTTCTCTCTCTCATCCTCTCCCCAAGGAGAGCTGTATACACAGTGGAGCGTTTTGATGGGTTTACTGTTTTTTTGTTTTGTTTTTAATATGTACAGACTGATTGGACCAGGCCATGAAAGAGAAGGTGCTTGGCCAGCCAGATCTCTTTGGGACTTACATATGATTATGAAGGAGAGAATCAACACAAAGTGAGAGCATACTGTATGTGATTGAAAGAAAACTACTCTGTTTAAGCTAATTAGTACTGTTTTTCTTTCCTCCCTCTATGCAGATACAAAACACCCATTTACAAAGCCGATAACATCATTTAAAGATTTGGGGAAACCTTAAGTAAATTTTTTGGGGTTCTTAAACGGCTCCTTTGACCCATTTTACAATGGTGCTGGTTAGCAGAATCCTGGATTATTCTATGTTCCAGCAAATACACTGCAGTATTAAAGCCTCATTAACATATTGCAATATTTTAAGACCATCAACCAGACATTTTAAAGCAGTACCATACATTATTTAGGCATAGAAGGTTGGGGTTTTCAAATCCCACTGAAATCCTGAACTTTCTCAAAGTGCTTGGAAAATTCCAGCAAAAATAAAAGCCTCTTTGTTTAAATTAAGTCACACTGGGTTGGCATTTCCCCTTGTGCAGCTAGGGCCATGTCTCCACTGCAACAAACGTGGCTTTTTTACACCTGTTCACTGTCACACAGTAAGATCCTAGTGGACACAAAGCATTGTCACTTTTACTGCAAGGTAAATAAGCGAGGTCAACCCTGGAGAGGGCACCGTGTTTATCTCGCAAGGAACACTATGGTGCCATCCCTTCGCAGAGATTTTGCAGTAGGATAGCTAATACACATTCATTATTCCATGGTAAAAACACACTGGTTTTGGAGGTGAAGACAAAGCCTAGAAGTTTGATTCCTGCTCCCCCCCCACCCCTTTTCAATGCTTGTCTTATTGTAATGTGGATAAACGTAAAGTAATGCTCATTGGAAAAAATAACCCCAACTATACATACAATATGATGGGGGCTAATTTAGCTACAACAAGCCAGGAAAAAGATCTTGGAGTCATCGTGGATAGTTCTCTGAAAATGTCCACGCAGTGTGCAGAGGCGGTCAAAAAAGCAAAGAGGATGTTAGGAATCATTAAAAAGGGGATAGAGAATAAGACTGAGAATATATTATTGCCCTTATATAAATCGATGGTACGTCCTCATCTCAAATACTGCATACAGATGTGGTCTCATCATCTCAAAAAAGATATACTGGCACTAGAAAAGGTTCAGAAAAGGGCAACTAAAATGATTAAGGGTTTGGAACGGGTCCCATATGAGGAGAGATTAAAGAGACTAGGACTTTTCAGCTTGGAAAAGAGGAGACAAAGGGGGGATATGATAGAGGTATATAAAATCATGAGTGATGTGGAGAAAGTGGATAAGGAAAAGTTATTTACTTATTCCCATAATACAAGAACTAGGGGTCATCAAATGAAATT